GCGCTGGTTGGGGGGGAGGTGCGCTGGTTGGATCCAATCCCAAGCAGCACAAGGTGCAGACCTGGGATATACCAGTATCCAGTCATTATCCAGTATGCCAGTCACTGGTCACATACACAGTCTATGGAAAATTTAGCCTAACACAACATTGGGAGATCAGGAAGACTCCACATGCAGAGCAGGAGGGATAAGAATCGATCTACAAATTCTGGAACAATGAAATGACAATGCTACTTTCTAAGCCATCAGTGCTAAATGTGGTCTGTCACACTCATGAAGCAGGCATGCATGACTGGGTTGCCCTTTTCCTTCTTTCCTAGCATTTTCCAGAATCAGTTTTAAACCCAGCAAGAGAAGAATACCCTTCTCCGTTATTGGGGCCATTTCCCACAGGCAATTCTTCAGGCCTATGGTGAGGGAACAAACATTACCACCACCCCATCATGCTGATGGCTCCCTGCCGATGAACGATGGATTCCCATTGCACCACAGAGGAGCATGATTTAGTAGTGATGGCCAAATAAAGCTTCATGAACCATTTGTTGTATTTTCTGACCCCACTAGATCTAGTCCTCTGTTCAAAAAAGAACTCAAAGCATGCCCCAAAGCAAGCCCAGAGCACCATCTAGTGGGGTCAAAAATACCACAAATGGTTCATGAAGCTTATTTTATAGCATGGAAACAGTATATAACAGTACATGTCTGACATCCTGTTAGCTGAAGTCAGGGATCTCCCAGGATGTGATGATCGTGCACAAACATGAGCAACTGTATCTCCTCTTGGTGGTAATGCCTTGTTTGTTAGGTCATTGGGAGGCTATGATGAGGGGTGTTGCCTGAAGCTAGTGGTGAGCCATCCACTCCTCAAACTGCCAGAATAGGAAAGACAGGGGAAGAGTGATCTGATGGGCAAACTGAACTAAGAAATCTTAGGCCTCCACCCATTGGGTTTCATAAAGGATCAAAGGAATAACATGGGTGCACCACCTGCACGAGGAACCATGGGGTTAGGCGGGGCATTAGGTGCAGTGTAGATTGGGTGGCAGTCGAAGGCAGGAGCCTCCCTGCTTAGACAGTTGCCTCTACGACCCAACCCCAGACAGACAGTGGAAAATGGATGGATACGTTTTGTGTCATTTCAATTTATTTTGTCTTTTCTCCAAATATTTAAGATTAGCATGTTTTCTGTAGTATCAGTGAGTATCATTATTTTATTTTAATCATGATATTGTTACACTTTGAAAAAAATGTAGTACATTTGTATTCCCTAGATGGAGAATACATATGGTTTTGGGATTGGTCTGCCTCTGCTGCCGCCGATGCAGATGCTTTCTTCTTAATACGATGCTGAAAAATCATTTGATGGGATTTGGTCTGCACCTACTGCAAACATTTAAATCCAAACTGAAAATTCATCTTTTGTCTTTGGATGATAATTAGCATGAGTGTCTGTCATTTGTTTCATTGGGTATTGTTTTTTGTGGTCTATTTCCTCTGTCTTCTATGTCTTTTTACAGCACCTATTTGCACCATAATGTAAAATGAATCTGAATTATAACACCAAAGTTCTCTTTTTCTAACACACTGAACACTTAAAAGTACAAAATATTTTGTTTTTACATTTTTGACTGTTTAATTTTGACAATTAAAATTAAATGAACCTGAAAAGAACTTTTTAAATCATTGTAGTATCATGCACAATGTGTTATTCAGAATTGCATCACCAGGAGGCGCATGTTGCCTTGCATAAACTATTTCTTGAAAATCAATTTAAATTGTTAGTAACCTAAAAGCTCTTACACCAATGAGAAAGTAACAGTATATTAAATATTAATTTGTCTTGAAACACAAATATAAAAAGACCATTTAATGTACCTTTAATAATGTTTTTTCTAGAGAATTTTATATGTTATTCTACAATTGGTAACTCAGTGGTGGTTCTGGAAAAAGGTGCCATTGGATTGGACATTCCTAGACCAGATTATTGTATGTAATGAAACAAATCCATCCTTTGGGCTGTGATTTACAACCAAAGACAAGGGTCAAGAATAGGAATGATCACTTAATGTACTGGAGTCAGAACTGAAACCGCTATTGACATGTTGGCCAGTGGGCAGTGATTTCCTATCGACGTCTGTCGTGACCATAATTTGAATCCTCCGTAACCAATCAAGTACAAATGGGGGAGGGTGTTGCAGGATACCAGTGTTATGCATCTATGATCTAAAGTTCAGTCTCTCAGTGTGTCACAATGCATCCTAAAGAATTTGCCAAGATGTTCAGTGTTCTTGTCGCTGTTGTTGTCCTAAGGAAGTCATGTAAGTGCCTTATTGTTACGGGAATTATAAATATGTCATAAAAAAGTCATAAAGTATGCTACTATGTAATATTTCATAAAGAGGAAATACAGTAATGTATTTATTTATTATATGAATATATATATATATATATATATATATATATATATATATATATATATATGTATGACTTACGTTACTTTAAAGTTTATTTGCTAATGTCCTGTGTTCCAGGCCTGACCACAGGCATGACTATCACTCAGGCTCACCGTGTTCTGTCTGTGAAGCTTGGGGATCCTGTCACATTAGAGTGCTACACCCAGGTAGACAAAGTCATACGCTGGCTGTGGCTCAAGAAGAAGCCTGGACAAGCACCAGAGATCATCATCAGCACCTACTATGACCAGATGGATCTCCATGGAGAGCTAACAGGGGGGATGAATGCCAGTGTTATGCTACGGAAAGACAGCAGAAGCATGAATGTGACTTTGTTAAATGTTCGTTTGTCAGATATAGGTGTGTACTACTGTGCCTTTTCTGACTATGAGCACTACAGATTTGGGGCAGGAACCTTCCTATCAATAACTGGTGCGTATCCCTTGTAGTGCTATGTGTGGAAGAGTACATTGGTAAGGCACAAAGACAGCAGGATTCTCCTATTGGTCATTATGCTGCAAGATGAATATAATAGTGAAGTCCAGATTTTGGGAAAACTGTGCTTTTATAACATATGTTTGTGCAATTCATATTAATTATGATTTTTTTATCTTTTAGGATATGATTGTTGCATGAAGAACATTGTACAGCGGCCTGTATCTGACTCAGTGCAGCCAGGAGATTCTGTGACCCTGAAGTGTACAATAGAGACTGAGAGCTGTGCAGGAGAACACAGTGTTTACTGGTTCAGACATGGATCAGGAGAATCCCTTCCAGGAGTCATTTACACCCATGGGAACAGGAGTGATGAGTGTGAGAAGAGCCCTGAGGCTGGATCTCCTACACAGAGCTGTGTCTACAGCCTCCCCAAGAGGAACATCAGCCTCTCTGATGCTGGGACTTACTACTGTGCTGTGGCCATGTGTGGGGAGATCCTCTTTGGGAATGGGACCAAGCTGGAAATAACAGGTGATGCATTTATTATTGACCAATTTATAGATCCTTGCAACCCTGCTTCTGATGTAAACATACATATATGAATACATACATACATGGACATCATTATTAATTTGTTATTGTTAGCATGAAAGAACATTGTTAAGTCCAAATCATACAAGAATTTCAATAGCAATATTAAATTCAGACAGTCCCCAGGTTATGAACAAGTACCGGTCCCTATATTTGTCTTTAAGTTGAATTTATAAGCTGGAAAAATAATAATACAGTACATAATAATATGCGTGCAATTATTATGCACTCTTTGCACTCTTAATGCGTGCAATGTTTTCTCAAGCGTCACAAAGTTGTGCGTGCGTTTGTTATTATGAACTATTGTATTTAACCCGGAATTTTAATGATAGGCTTTATGGCAGTCCCTTCATAAGTATGAGTTGTCTGTTAGTTGGACATTCTTCACCCTGGGACTGCCTGCAGTTAAATGTTTAAATGTAGAGCTGATTGTTGTCATTATTGAATTATAATTTTATGAGCAGTTATGTGTAAAGGATCCTTAATACAGAAATGGAATATAGTCATGTACATATGATGAGGTAACAAGGATCAGAAATGATTATGCAAAGCCTAGTTTAGGATGCACAGAAATTGTCCCCCCCACCACACACATTCATTTTATTGCATATTTACATATATAACATTTTTAAGGATTCGGTAGAATTTTCAAAGCATTTCTATCCTGATATCGTTAAGATGATAACTGAAAAAGTTTTTGATGGATATTTCGCAAACTTTGCAGAGGCATTGTATGGATGTTGAACTGGAAATGGTTACATTTTGAAGTATATTTCCCAAAAACTGAAGCAGTGCCGATATTGTGATTTTTTTGTGTGTTGTTTTAAACTGTATGACATGTTTTTCATGTAGGTTCACAGTGGAATGATCCCCTTGTAATTTCTTTGGCTACCCTGAATGCATGTTTTCTGATAGTGATTGTAGTACAACTAGGAAAAATTTATGGATGTTTCTCAGGTAAGCCATTTTATGTGTATTGCAGGTGGTAAAGATATTCAAACCCTTATGCACATTTTTTTGGCTTGCTGAAGTCCACAGCTTCCCCACAATGAAGTATGAGAGGCGCATCAGCTCGCCAAGTGTTGGGAAGATTGTCAAGAGTAATAATTTTTTTCTCAGGTGCAAAATTCAACAGTGGACTGATTTTACAATACAGTATATGACCTGTCCATAAAACAACTCTAAATGTCCCTTTGTCACATTGATCAGTCTGATATTAGCTTTCTTTTTGATTTAATAGAACACATTCCTTAAAAAATGTTCAGCCAATGTTAAGACATGTAAAAAAAGAAAAAAATTCCAGACCTGGACTTTAAAAGATTGGCTGGCATAAAAGTTTAAGCATCCAAATACTCGTGCGGTCAGTTTATTTCAGGCTTTTTCCTTTTAGCTTAGACATCTTTGGTTTATTTATTTTAATAAATGTATCTACAAAGTTTCCAAAGTGCCTGTAGGTGTCAATCTGTGTATATGACCCCTGCAATGACTAGTTTTTCTGTTGTAACAAAACAAATCAGATTTAAAGCTGATATTGCACTCTCATTTATATTTATCTCAGGTAGTTTGGAAGACTCAAGAAGTAAGCCATGTGGAAATCAGGTAACAAAACACCAAGATTGTACTTAAATTATTTTAACAGATTATGAAATACAAGAATGATTTTCTGAGTATTTTAATTACTGACTGTATCTGTCGTTTTCTTTATGTCATTTATCATAGCCTCAGGATAAAGAGCCTAGTTACGCCTCGTTGAATTTTACACGTAGTAAATTTATCACTGGGAGACTGAGGGGAGAAGAGAAAACCTACTGTACATATTCAGAGGTGATATGCCAGCAGAACAATGAACAACATCTACAGAAAGATTGAGAAAACTCAGAAGAAAATCATGATGATGATACATTTAAAATCTGATGTTATTATCTTATTTAGATATGCAGGTAGATGTATATTGTGCAATGTATTACTGCTTGTTGCCATTTCCTTAGAGATAGTATTTACATTTCCAGATATTGTTCATTCTTCCTTTCAATAACTTCAGGTTAGTTTGGTTGAGTTTTATGCAGTTTCATGTTCATTATATTTACTGCATTAAATTAAGTTTAATACATTTTATTCTTTGATTCATTTTATTCTTAAAATTATTACACTATTCTTGACTTCAAATAAATATGTATATTGTCTTAAATTAGTATGTACTAGTACAACTTAATCATAACTATATATATGTAATGAATCAGACCAAATATGTAAGTGCAGAACAAATACTTTCCTGGGTAAAAAAATACCAAAATGTAATCCAAGGTAAGGACTGGAAAACCTAGTCCTAACACCAGAGAAAGGTCAAAAGAACATCATGTAAGGCAGGTGTTGTGTAAAATAATAATAATAATAATAATAATATATATATATATATATGATTGACTTTTAAAAAATCAATACCAGAGGTCAGTTTGCACAAAATACCAAAGCCAAGAACTTGATCTGTGAGGGTAGTTGACACAAGGGAGATCCATGAGGAGGGGGCAGGGTTAGGTCGGACAGAAGGAGGATGGGTCAGGAGGCGCAGGTAGTTGAGGTAGGGAAAGTTCGGTGGCACGGAGCTAGAACAAAGACAAAGGAAAAGAACAAGTTGATGCATGTCAACAAATACTTTGCACTGAGTGATCGCAACTGCGCTGATTACTGCCCTGCCTGGAGGTGTGACAAGCATGGCATGGTCTGAACAGTCAGATTGAAACACAATTTAATTCCAACCAAATGGTCGATCTAAATTATAAAGCTATTTGGCTAAAGGTTCTAAAATAGAAGCCTGACAACCATTGAAAATACATTTAGTACCATAAAACATCTTAAGATTTCAAGCTATAAGCCTTCAGTTAAATAAAATAGATTCTACAGATATCTACAGACAATATTGTCATCCAGTGTATGCCTCTATCTTGATTTTTAATTTTTTTTAAAACAAAATAAATCAGGGGTCTGTATCATGAAGCAGGATTTCTTGATTAGCCGAAAACTTGTTGGATTCAAATGGACTTTATGTTTATTCACTTACATTTAGTCCAGACTACTATAAATCTGACAAGTTATCCAGCTAAACAGGGATTCCAGCCTTGTGTTATAGGCCCCAGATAACATCAACTTCCCTGAAGGATGAGTCCTTCAACACTCTGCCTTCATTACGAGTTACACTCACACTGAGTAGCCCGCACAAGAGGGCCTGTGCACTAAAATAAAATAAAATCCCATAAGATCTTAGTATTATATTACTGATTTTGATTGGATTTCATTTTGATTACTGGCCCCTGCCTATGTCAAACATTTATTCATACCAACAGAATTGCAATAATATAAATAGAAAAATAAATTAATAATAACTAAAATTTGCTTTGTTGAAATCCAGTACAAGAAATCAGTTTTCAATCAAAAGTGTGTAAATCTATTATCCCAGTTAAAATCATTTTAAATATTAAAATGAACAGTGATGAACATGATATTACAAGAAATTACCGTGCATTTTAACCTTTGTATGCTGATTCGTACTTCATTTACAGTATAAAGGTTAAAATGCACGGTAATTTCTTGTCATATAAGCATTTCTTGTCAACTTTTGCTGCCAGACCATATACCTTTTTTTTTACAGTATACAGTATAATGTCTGTTTAGCTTTTCTAATGAAATTTTCTGAGACAATGCTAAATATTAATGGAAAGGGTACTTTTAGAGCTATTAGGATTACTGATTTACTGTTAATCAGTTGAGATTACAGTGTTTGTGTGCTTTTTTATTTATACCACATATAATGTAATGTATAATCAGTGGTAAGGTGAAACACAGCCTTGCAACATACCTTAAGTTCATTACAACCATATGATAATAAAGTTTCCCACATTCAAATTCATTTATATTATATAACTCATTGTTAACTGAATTATAGAAATGTTGATACCTAATGTTTGAAACACACACAC